CTCCGCCTTCTGCGACCAGTGCTGAGGTGGAAGGTCAACTAGAGCTGGAACAGGAGCAAGAGCAGGACAGAGCACCGACGGCCAAGAACGAGAAGACGGTGGACTTGCAAGTGATGGAGATGGAGTTTTATCTAATCTATCCAGGAGCTCACGAAGACCCTTATTGTCATGGCAGTGCTGAACAATGTCAAGCTGGAGTCTGGTAGGTTGCCCTTACCAATGTGGACTTCTTGGAATGATAACCATTTGCATTTATGATATAGGTACTTCCACCGCGCGCCAAAATGGAACTACGATGCCACGTCTGGATCATCTGTTGGAGGGGCGTATCGAGACGGCTCGCGGAAAGGGCTCGATCTTACCATTGGCAGCATCCCAGTCTCTAGTCATTCTACCTCTGTACAGAACGACGCATTTCGGCCAAGAGGAGGAGTATTGCTACGTTCCGCACGAGTAATCAATACAGGCGCGATCATTTCAGGTCCATCACTCCTCGTCGACTTCATTCTCAAATCTGCGGGTGCAGACAATATTACGTCCCTCGTAAACGACCATTGGGACAATAATATATCTGCATTCACTACGGAAGGCTCAGGGAACGGGTCGAGAATGTCTATCGTCCGTGTGGATGCGCCAGACGCTCCAACGAAATCGACTCCTAGCATCTACCGCACACCACGGGTTGGACTTGACCTCAGTCATTACACGACCAAACCTGAAACGACGCACCCTCGTGTTCAGTATGTCCAGAAACAGTACCGCTTCCTGATCGAGCCAAGTCTACTGAAAGTAAACGGGAGAGCCCAAACGTTTGCCGGCATACTACGACACGTTTTCACTCTGAAGAAAGAAACGGGGAACATCTTTGCGAAGAAACGACCCGCCGGCTCCTCCAGCATGTCGAATACAAACAACGTCCGCATCCGGGCTCTTAGCGAAGCAGAGCAGAAATGGTTCAGAGGCCAAATAGCCGAGCTCGGCGGATTCACACAGAACACTTGTACTGCATATATGTCGCATTTCTTCAAGGGGTTCAAAGGAGGCCAAAGTGTCGTGAAAGTATGTTGTGGAAAGGATGGAAAGGGTGTCTGTCAGTCTCCCGAAAAGGTATTAATGATGTTTGGAGCACTAGAGGCATTCTGTTCATAATTGGTAACAAGTATCTAGTCTGCGGAAATGAATGTACTATACATTGTCGAGTTCACTCCAAGGCCGGATACAATAAGATATATCGACAGGAAGTAAAGAGTTTAATCCCTGTATTATAATAGATACAGCAATGTCAATACTGTTTCAAAACAAAAAAAAAAATACCAATCCGATGTAAAAACTTTCGACGACAGCAGGATTCGAACCTGCGAACCAGATGGAAACGGCTTACTTGATATAGCAGGCCGCCGCGGTAACCACTGCGCCATGCCGTCACGTAATTGGTTCTGGAATATAATATTTATATATTCTAATACTTATCCTTGGTATATCCAGCGGGGCTTTAGTTCATCGTAGAGACTAGCAGATACATCAATTTGGAAATAATCTGGCATGTCATTAGCATAACAATGATAACGGTGTCTATCTTATACTTTATTTGTGATTAGCGCCGCCACCCTCCAAAAGTTTGACCCCACCCTCGACCTATCGAGCCCTTCCATGGCCTCTTCCTCGTCTGTAGTTACGCTCGCATCTGACT